ACTCTTCTGTCCTTATTTAAGTTGGTAAATGCTGCTATAGTCTTTGCCTTCAGTTTATCTTCAGTGTTACAAGGAGTTTTGTTGGTCCCTTGATCAAATGTATCCCACACATAATAATCAAGGTGGTTGGGGAGTTAGGTGACCAGATGTACGATGTCGCAGAAATTGTCTGACAGCCATGACTGGCTTCTCCTGCTTGTGTGGCATAGTACAGAGTCTTGTTGCCAGACATAGGGTCTTCTAGCAGCTACCTTCTTTACCCAGGACAGCACAACCTCCTCAAGAAACTTGATGCAGGCCTCCATGTTGAGTTTGAGGCCCTCACCAACAAATTTGGGAGTTCTTTTCTTATCAGAACGATCAGAGTAAGTTTTCCAAGCTGCCATACCTTGATAATCAACCAACTCTTTTTTAATCACCATGTAGATTCATCCCAAACACTCTTTTTCATATTGGATCCTCTGCACAAATCCAAGCAGACAGTTGACACCCAAATTTCTGGCAGAGTGAATTGTGTCATGGTGCTCTTTTTCTCACAGAAGGTACCCAACTGACCCTACTATACTGTGCAGTTGACAGAATCCAAAACAAACAATGTGCATATATGAAATTAAACATAAAAAATGGAGACAATTTATGCACTGCACCATGTATATCACTGTCTATTGTCTATGGCAATACAAACTGGCCAGAACATGTCTAAGATTAAACCATAATGTTGCCTCAAGGTTGCCCACTAGAAATACATGTAGGGATACCTATCCATGTGTAACATGGCACTGCAAATCCCCCAATATTATGCAACTGTTGATCAGATCAGCTTCTCAAAGTGCTACCAAAGAGTTTGAGCGCCTTACTACAAGTTGGATACAGCAATCAGAAAACTACTAACACGGTACTTTCATAATGAAAAGTTGCAGCCACTGATTAATCAGTTCACCAAAAATTTAAGACAGTTAAATCATTAGGGCCATTGAAATAAGAATTTGGTAAATCATATTCTAAACAGAAAACAAGAGATAAAACTCTACTACTGGTCATGATTTTTCCATTTTCTATGGCTTATTAAGCCTTTGTAAGTTGTTTCGAGCTAGAAAATACGTTTAGAGTGTAAGAATTTTTTTTGAAATAATATTAGTTTAGTAATACATGTCTTACTAATTAACCCATAGCTGGAGGGAGAAGAGGTGGATTCATAACTTTCCTAAGGGTATTTGTGTGTAAGTGAATATAATGAACCCAATTAGAACTTGCCTCTCTAATTAACAATTTTGAGCCATTATCCATTACACTACCAGCACATCCAAGCTTCCAGCACTTAGTATTCTGCAGCAGTCACCCATCAAGGTACTGACAAGGCTTGGCATTGCTTAGCTTTGGTGGTCATATGAGGTCTGGTCTTTCAATGTGCTGTGTCCAAAAACTAACTTCTGTTCTATAAACTTGGAAGGAGTACTATAAGGATATATCAGTACTATATCAGGAATAAGGAGAAATTTCTGCTCAAATAGATTATTCCTAAGAATGGATACTTTATTGAATAAACTCCCCCTGAATGCTTTTTTGAACACCACTTAACCTCTTCAAGTCAAGGATCAAATGTTATCTATCCTCCTTATCCTCCTTATTTCCTACCATCTCCTCTGTATCTGTTTATTTCTTCATTTCTATATCTATGTTTCAATTTGTTCATATCTAAGTTTGATCAGATTTATTGATATTTTATCTTTGCAAGAGTCAGGTTAGACCAAAAATGAAATATTGTTATCATATCTGGGCAGCTTTGATAGTGTCCTTCTGTCATGCTTCATCTTTACAATAGATTAGATCAAAAATGAAATATTGCTGTCATATCTGGGATGGAACTGCACAATCCTCACTTTACAGTGTGGATAGAGGTCAAACGCATCTAGGTGGCCTTGTGGGGAAAAACTTCTCCACTTTCCAGTCTCTTTCTCACAGGTGAAACATTGCAAATTTATTGCTACTCTATTGCATATTAAGAGATACAAGAAAGAGAAATATATTAAGGTCTTACTTGTGTGTTGTTGTGTTCATACCCGGTATCAGTGACTTTGCCTCAGCCATATCAAATTAGAGAAGACAGAGAACTAGGATTACATGCACTGTTGCTCTGGTTAATTAGCTCTAACTGCTGAAATGGCTTAACTTTTGCATCTCTTGCAAGATGATTCTTTCTTACCTATTGGCATAAATTAAAGTCACGTCAAAGGTAAGCAATCAAGTTTTGTAATGCTACAATTGCAACAAGTTAAAATATTGGTATTTTATAAAATATAACTTGATGAATTGACTGAATTAAAACTTGAATCATTTGATTATGATAGAATTCACCTAAAAAATTAAAGAAAATTATTTGATGATTGAACAATGATGCTATGAATTTACATGAATGAAAGAAAACAAAGAAGAATTTGATGTGATCTTTTGCAACAACCTAATGCCAATAAGATACTGCATTATAAAAAGCCAGGAAAAACACTGATGAATGAATATTTTCGTTTGGTTTGTTTTGTTTTACAGTATATCAACATCAATGGGTTATTTAATGCTGACAAGAATTTTATTGCTGGTAATATTTTTTCCAAAAATGTATTGCATATAATATTTTTTTTCTTCAAAAATGTGTGCTGGTAATAATTATTTATAAAAATGTATTGTTGCTAGCTTTTTTCTTTCAAAAATGTATTGCTGGCAATAATTTTTCCTCAAAAAAATTATTGCTGTTATTAAAACCTATTTTTACACTTTCATAGTGTTTTGCTCCCAGTTTGTGGGGTTAACTATTTTCCATTAGCTGGGACCCTAACAGGTGCTACAACCTCAGGCCAGGGTGGACCTGGGAACACACTCCTCAAAACCTCCTGATCAGAGTCCTTGCTGTTGGATGTAGTTTATTGTCTTACCCAGGACATGGACTTAGTTTATCATCTTACCCAGGACATGGATGTAGTTTATCGTCTTACCCAGGATGGGATGACTGAATAATGATGCTATGAATTTATATAAATAAGTTATAATACTTATTTTTTCTAATAAATGTTAGAAACGTTTGCATGAAAAAATCATAATTTACTTGTTTACATTTATTTTTGACTAAATAACAAGATTTCTTTTCTGCAATGGCTAAAAAGACATTTGGATAGAAATTATTTTGTTAATCTGGTGGTGTATTAATTTGAATTCATTAAAAGAACAAAATGAATTACTACTGCTAATAAATATCTAATTATAATTCATTATTTATTCATTCGTTTTTGAATGAGATTCTTTCGATCTTAATAGCTTTTTGTATTTTTAAACCATCCAGAAAAATGTAATGTAAAATTTCTATATTTTTTTTAAATTTTATTTTAGGAAGCTAAAAAAAGAGATTTCTGCATTTTCGTTAGAAAGATATTTCATGAAATCAAAATAAGAATTAATTTTATAAACGTTTGTTTATTTCTCATGGAATACATACGGGCAGTTGAATCGAATGTGTTTGATTTATTTGCTTATTTTATTTTGTGGCTATTTATATCGACGATTCGGTCACCTTTGCGAGCGGATGTATTATTATAAGAATGGACATTTTTAGTGAACTTGGGCTCAACGGTTATGAAGTGTTGCAGTTATCTCCCCTTTGCATCTAAGGCGGAGACTTCAGTTTTATTAAGAGAAACGAACAGGAGAGGCCAGCATTTTCATCGCTTTTCACCTCGCAATATTTATTTATTTATTTTAAGAAGTGTAACATATTTTTACCTTAAAAGAGCAATTCCAAGACCGCTAAAAGACCTACAGATCCAAATCAGGTGTATAGAAACGGTCTTAATATTTTAAAAATATTTTTATTTATTTATTGAAAAACTAACGGGATCACTTACCCAGCAAGAAGTGGGGTTTGAAAGCGACTGTTTCTCTCCTTTTTCTGTCTTTTAAAGATGGGTTTTCTGGCTTTTATTTTCGTTTCTTTGTAAATGGATGAATTATTAATTATTCTTCAGGCCAGACCCAAACAGCGAAAGTCTTCAAGATAATATTTTAAAAAAAAATTACACCTTAAAAAATAAGAAAAGAAAGAAGCGCACCCCCTCCCTTAAAAAACCCTTTCGTCTTTTTCTTTTTTTTTTCTTTATCGAATTGGAATCAACAAGCTTCTCCTTCATATTTTATTCTTCTTGGGGACAATTTTAAATAACAAGATTTATTATTTAATAATTGTTTGCATTTTTATTCACGGTAAAGAAAGAAAGGAAAATTTTTGAACTATTAAGAGTGAAAAAAAAGACCCAGAGTCATTTTTAATTTGTATTTTTGTTAAAAAGAAAAAAAACGTCAACATCTTTTCTGCCTGATTCATCATCGTCTTCTTCACTCTTCTTCATCTTTTATTTCTTGGTCGCATCAACAACAAAATTTACCCGGCTTTTTACCTTTGGGCTTTTTTTTTTTCTTAAATAAGAAAGGATATTTTTGAAGATCTATTCTTTTTAAATTTAAAAAGAAAAAAGACCAATCGAAACAGGAATTTTATTTTATTTTGAAAAATACCTGAAGTTAGTGAAGTATTTCTTAAAAAAAAGAAGGTAAGTGGAAAAAAAAACCTTATTGATGTTCATTTCTTTGGTTTCATTTTCAGACAGGAATGTTCTTTTTTTTTTATTTTTGTGTCTTTCTATTAGTTTTTTTTTTTTTCATTTAAATTTTTCGTTGGCTTTTTTAAGTTTATTTTCATTTATTTTTTGTCTAAAATTCAATAATTCCTTATTTTATTCATCATCTTTATTTGGTCGCTGATTTTTTTTTTTATTATGTATTAAATTTTATTATTTATTTTAATTATTGCTCCATAAATGATAATATCGCATTATTTTATTTGATAAATTATTCAAAATAAAATATTTACCCATATTATTGATAAACCTGGTTGATTCTAATAATAGCAGAAATTATCATTTGACAATATCAGTTCCGAAAAAAGACAAAAACGTAACATGAGGTATGGTAAAAAAAATAGTTTTTCTCTTTCTGCCTTTTTAATTCATTCATTCATTTTTATTGTCACCTTCCTCCGGTTTTCTTTTCTTTCTCTTATCTTTTTATCTAATATTATCACCAGTTGCCGGGCGACTACATCTTTTCCAAAAAAGACGAAAAAGGATGAACCGTGAAAGAATGACAATGAATGAATGAATGAATGGAGAATTTCTTTCTTTTCTTGTCATTCATTCCTTTGCCTTCCTTCCTTCCTTCGTTTCCCCTGTTGCCGGAATCGATCAACAACAGCAGAATTTTCAATATTGTCTCCGCTTTATGGACAATTTATTTAAAGAAATTACATAAAATAATAATTCTTAGTGCATTTAAAGGGAGCAGTACGTCTTTTATTTATTTTTTTTTTTTTTGCTTTATTTTTATTATAAATTACCCCTTTTCGTCAGGTTTTATTTTTATTATTTGACTTTGATGAGGTATCCCATATATTTGCATTCTTTATTTTCGCTTTTTTTATTATCCATTCCTATCTATTTCTAATATTAGCATTTTATTTAGGAATAGTTCAAAACTAAAGGTTTTCTTTGGTACATACAAATAAAAAAACTTTAATTTTCAATAGAATTTTTAATTTTTCAATAATATAGAATCTATATTATTGAAAAATTATTCTATATTATAGATTATAGAATAATTTTTCAATAATATAGAATAATTATTCAATTAGTGTAATAATTTTTCAATAGAGTAATTTTTCAACAAGATAGAGCAATTTTCAGTATTATTAATTTTTCTTCGATGTTTGATTACGTTACTAATTTGAAACAAAAATATCTGAAATGCTAATTTCTAACATTAGAGATGATATCAGATATGATTTGAATTTGAAATAAATATTTTATTTCATTTTCACACATATTTCATCTTTTCCTATTTAAATTTTATATTTTCATTTGTTATTTATTTCAATATTTGTTTAAATCTTTTTTAAATACTTTGTCTATTTAAACAATTTTATATTTTTCCTGGAAATTATAATTGAAGTGGCTTTTTTTTTTTTTTTTTTTTTGGCTTCATTATTTATTTGAATTTTAGTGTGTGTTTTACTCTCTCTCTTTTTGTGTTTTTAGTTTCACTAAAAAAAAAAATTGACTGAAAAAAAAAGAACTTCAAATTATTAATAATGTGAGTCCACTTTTATTTTTTAACAATGCATTTTTTAAAAAATAACTTCAGTTTTAAAACAAAGAAACTTAACCTGATAATGAATTTATAAGAACATGACTTTAAAATGAATTTTAATTTTCCAATAGACATAAAAAATAAAAAATGCATCTTTTTACTTTTATTTTTATACATTAATGATGTAAATAAAAAAATATTTTCCAGATTTATTTAACAATTTTTTTTTCTTTTTCTCCCTTCATTCATTCTATTATTTTTTTTCTTTATTTTTCAAAGGGTTACACAACAAAATTAAACACAGACCCCCAACCATCTTTTCTCCTAATCAATAGGGATGATGTCTGTTTTAAATTCAACAGTTTTTTAGGTTTCCGTTTCATTTTCATCTAACTACTTCTCTACAAATTGTCTTTTTCATTTAGTCTCCATGGCCCTAAAAATACTAGAAATTGCTTAGACACATTCAATAGTTTTTTTTTTTTTTTCCTTTTTCGGTGGAATTTTAAAAGAAAGAATTAAATTTAAACATCGTTAGTGCTTTTTAGTCTCTAGTGTAATTCAAATTGTGTATTCAATGCCTATGGCATCTGTTTACAACACTTGGGTTTTTACACGTGTGCACACGCGCTCAGATACACGCGCACATATGTGTGTGTGTGTGTGTGTGGGTGGAATGGTCAGTTATCAGCGCATGAGTCGAAGGTTAGAAATAATGACATCTTCAAATTTTAAGCTGATTGGAATCTTGGATATCTCAATCCTTGGACAAATATTCCATTAGTTTAAAAAAAAAACCCTTCAAAAACTACCCCTGATCCTTAATCTTTAATGAAAGATTAAATAGAGATCCTTGAAGTCGATAGGAAAACCAACGTACATTTATTTTAAATTAGAAATAAAAGGCTCATAAATTTTGCAAGGCGACCTGATATTGTTCAACCTGTAACTAACTTTGATGATAACAACATGGCCCAATACAAAAGAAAAAAACGGTGGCATTTTGTAGTTACTAAATTGATTAAATAAACTAAAACACGTATGTTGTATGTATCAATATATTGTTTTTTTTAGCTAAAAGACTTCCATTCAGGCTAAGTAAAAAAAAAAAAAAAAAAAAAAAACGTATTTTCTCTTTACTCTTCTTATTTCTCTCTCTAAATTACCCAAAACAGACACACACACACAGATAAAGAAAGAAATAGATGTATATTTCTTTCTATATGCATGTGTATAATTTATTACTCACACGTACACACACATACACATTCAGGGGCAGAGATGGGAAGAAATTATATATCAGAACAATGTAGGAAACTTAGAATTTTTATACTTTTCCTTTGACATTAACTTTCCTTATAATAAGGAAGAATTATTAGGAAAATTAATTTTCCTAATAATTTTGCCTAATTAGGAAAATTAATGGCAAAGAAAATTGAAAAACAAATATTGTAAGTTTCCTGATACAAATGAACAAATATGTGATTTCCTCATCTTCTTTACTATTCAATTGTGCACGTGTGTTCATAAATGAATTATAGAAAGGAAGAAAGATATATCGTGTATCTATTTCTTTGTGTGTGGAGATCGAAAGTACTTAGGTAGGAAAAAACTACGTCTTCCTTTTGAATTTCATCTGATCAAGAAACTGATTAAAGAACTAGCTGATAAAATTATTATAAAAATAGACATATGCCTATTCTGAGAATAAAGTAAACTAAACCTGTCTGAATATGCTGCACACACACACACACACACACACACACAAAAAAAAAGCCTGGATGAGTGTGTAAGAAGGAAACCCCAAAAACAAGAGATAAAAGTTAAAAAAATCGCAATCTTGTTACTTGTTACTAGCATTTGGCTATGTTGCACAAGAATTTCAGAATCCCACCTCCATAAAAAATAGTAATCAAAGCTGGGATCTACTTTGTTAACCATTTTTAAAAAGGAATTAATTTTTTTTTTTTTTTTTTTTTTTTTTTATCTAAATTCTATTTTTAGTACTTGACATTTTAGTCCTGTTTTGACGACAGGAGCTATTCATAGTCGTATCACATCGGGCAAGCAAAACTAAAATAAACATCGTGTAAAAAAAAAAAAAAAAAAAAACAGTTGTAAAACAACATTTAGAGACTAGATTTGTGCTAAGTAAGTTTTCGTTTTCACACACAAAAAAAATAGATTTTTTTTTTTTCAAAACAAATTCTGATGTCTGGATATCAACCTGAAGACCACGTTGAGGCATGGAACTGACGATCGTTACGGTGTTGATTCCTATGTCCACGCCGTATAAACGTTCTCGCTCCGATAGAAAACACTGCACTCTTTAAAATATGGGTGTGTATATTCCCTATTTATTGCACTGAATAGGATTTTTTAAAAATAGAGATAGTGCAAGGCTGCAAGCTAAGCATGAATGTTTGTACAGGTGAAATTGTCTGGGTTATAAAAAAAAAAGACCTGGTATTTATTATTATTATTAAATTATGTGGTAGGCAACAAGTATTCATCCAAACAAAAAATAACCGAAATGGTCTCTATTTTATTTTTAATTCTAATTATTTTTTTTCTAATTTTGAAGGGTTTCAATTTGGATATTTTCTTCTCTTGCTTCCTAAAAAAAACAAAAAATATCACAGGCCTTCTTGTTTGGTTACAAGTTTGGGTGAATACTTGCTGACGCGCGTGTGTGTGTATACAGCGTGTGTATATGTGTGTGTATGTGTATAATAGTCGCCGTCGTACTGGTGATAATAAAATTACCAAAATCTGCTACACAGCTTCATGTAACAACATGACCCTCATCAGGCGGAAAATCGATTTTGGCATTGAATTGAGTCCTCAGTTTTTATATTTTCAAGCTCTTTTTTATAGCTGATTTTATGCTTTTTATTTTAACTTTTAATTCTTCTTACTATTTAAATTTATATTCGTCTCCCTACCAGACATTGCTTCTTCGTTTTTTTTTGTTTTTTTTACCCAGACAATTGAATTTACCTGTTCAAACTTTATCATACTTACTTACACCTTTTTGTAAAAATACGTTTTTTTTTTGTTTTTTTTCATTAATTTATTTTAATTTTTTTTAAAGGTAATCAGGCACATTATTATTTTTATTTTTCGCTTATATTCAGACTTTTATTTATTTATTTTTCTTTTTACCGGTTTTTACATCCCTTCTCTGTTTCTGTATAAACCGCGCTGCTACAAACAAATATAGTAGTAAATAGTGATTACCGTGGCTCGTCTGGTAAAAAGACAATGCACCTTATTTTAAAATTCTCTCTATATATTCTTTTTAGAGATTCAAGCCCTATTTATTTTTTAAACCCAAAAGTGGCTTGCACAATAATGTTAAGTTTATAAATAATAATAATAATAATAAATTAGCAGTAAATAAAAGTAAAACCTTCGCTCGCTGACTATGTAAATATCTACTATTTATAGCTAGTAGCATTCACAATGATGGTGGCGGTTGCAAGTTTCTCACGTCATGAGCAGAGAGACGAGCTGTGTGGGTATTGCTTGCTTAGGGCCGGGGCAGACTGTTGACGCGATAGTAAATTGAGATTTTTAAATGAAGAACCCTGTTTTGTGTAAATCGCGAATTAGAAATGAAATCGGGCAAGTTGAAAATGTATTGGATATAAAGGTTTTGTTTAAATTTTTGATGAAAAATCACCCCCCTTCTCCTCCCTTCTTCGTCATCGACCCATATTATTATTATTATTATTATTTTAAATCTTGTCTGGGGAAAGTCTCTCTTTCTTTTTCCTGCTGATGATGTCATCGTATAAGCCAAGTGCTTTTTTTTTTCTTCCAGTACACAATCGCACTCTATCTATCATATACACAGCTATATTTCTCTCTCTCTCTCTCTCTCTCTATACACACACACACACACATCTTTTTAGTTTTTACTCACACGTCTGTCTCCTCCTCACTATTTCTTTCTCTCTCTCCCATACTACGTGTATTGTGTATGTA